AGACGAGTTATCAGACTATAGACTAGGCGTACAAAAGTTTTTAATTCCACAAATAATTAATTGTTTAACACATACCTATATAATACAAGATTTCCAAGGAAGAAAAGCAAAGCGGAGCAATGAATATATCAATTCCACTGTGATGTATCTTTATTTTTTTTTCTGTCTGTGAACAAATTTCCTAGGTATCAGAAATCTTACTCCAAGAAAAAATAAGTTAGAAATAGTTAATCGGTACTTCCCGTCTACAACAGTGGTTGTTGCACCCATCCTCAGGATAAACTTTTTTTTTGCTTAGTATCATATTCGTTTAGGAGCCCTTTCCCCCAAAAAAATAAACTCTGAATCCGCCACTGTGCCTAGGTATGTTATGGATAAATAATTATAATATTCCATATATGTATTATAAATAGGTACTACATAATAATAACTCACATATATTATGTTTATGACGTCATATGGTTATAAAATTGTGTAACTGTTGACCTACATTATTTTGGTAAATAGTAAAATGTTGTACGTTATTGTTCAAGGTATTCATAATAGGTATGAATAGGCCTATCTATTATGACTATAGTTATTTTCTTTTTCTTCTCCTTCGCCTTCATATCAGTTATTTGGGGTCGTCTATCCTCGTCCTAAATTTCCACTTGATCCAATAATCCACCGTAACATGGCCCTAACATCCATCGTTCTCAAATCATTCTCGATAATATCCAACCATCTATTTTCCTATGTTCTTCTCCTCCTCTTTCATCCTACGTTTATTTCCATTACAACTCTGCTTACTGCTTCTGATTCTTTCTTCCTCATGATATAGCTAAACTATTTCAGTTTATTTTCTCTAATTTGTCTACTATCAAAGCCTGTGTTATATCTTATGTACTTATTCCGTATCCTATATTCCTATCTTCTCTCATTACACCCCTGTCATTTATCTAAGCACATTCTCATTTTTAATACACTCGTTCTCTGTTCTATTTTTTTTTCTATCTACCACAATATAATTGTTGCACCCGTGTTAATAAAATAAATTATTTTAATATATAATACTACTGAACTAAATAAATACAACTCACTTATTTAATCAGGTAGGTACTTATTCTAATTCCTTATTCGTATAAAGAATAGACAATTATTCCTAGTACATAGGGTAATAAAGTAATTGTAAAGAAAAAATAATACATTTAAGATTTCAATTTATTTTGCTTAATATGGAATTTGTATTAGTAATTATTATAATATTTTATTTATTTTTAATTAAATAAATAGATAAATACAGAATTTTGTAAAGCATCTGCGGAAATAATTTATATTCTTTCAGAAACTAACAGTGCAATTTATATTCGAATTGAAATAGTTTGTGAAATAACTAAAGTAAATAGTTTAATTTATCATTCCAAAAGTCTTTACACTTTGACTCTTTACCATCTAATGTTGTATCAGTTAAATTGTATAAAATTCATTTATTTTAACTTTTGTTTAATTTATTTAGATGCTATATGGTTACCCTGTATAATGCTACTGAATGTAAACCCTCGTCAGACACTCTAAATAATTGTTTAAACGCTAATCGATCACTCGGGAAAGCGCAATCGAACGCAACGGCCGATATTGCGGAAACATCAATACCAAAGTACGAGTACCAAACGAAAAAGTGTATACCAAGTATATTATGGTACAGGTAACGTTTACCAATTGCTGCGGCACCTATTCTAGGTGCCGAATACTATAGAAACAATCGGTGTAAACGTGTGTACAAATTGACCGCGATTGCAGTTTTACATGGGTTTAATACAATAACAATAATAACAGTAATAATAATACACCCGCGAACCGAATGCCGGGCGCCGGGGCATTACGTAGCATCTAAACATTCTAGACATTACGGGCATCTGTACAAGTCGCGGCCGCGCAGAATTCGCCGTCGATCGATAAACGCGAAACGCGTTGCACGGCTAGCTAGGTACGGGTGCGCGCTAGCGTGTACATATTATTAAATTCCGGCGGAATTTGACGAATAACATTACGGGTGTCGCCTATTGTGACATGGACGTCGTTACAATATCATAATAGCGATCGGACCGCGTCACACGCGCGTGTACGCACACGGCGGTGTAACGCGGGCGCTGCGCCAACATTAATACAAAATTGTTTTTGTTTTCACTCTGTACAGTGCTGTATGGTGAGCGGTCCGCTGCAGTACGCCGACCGTCCGTGGGTGTTGAAAATCGATGGCGCTCGGCGTCCCTCCTCCGCTGTACAGAACACACGCCGCCGCGGAACGCGCCGTTATTATCGCTATAGCGCGCGCCGCGCAGAGCGTACGTCCCCCCCCCCAACACCGCCTCCCGCCGCGGCCGCCCGCAGTGCCGTTCGCTTTGCGGTGCGCATTTCGCGTTATTCGGTCACTATTCATACAACGCGCTCTACACTCTTATGCGTCTCGCGCTTTTGCAGGGATGTATCCACAATACACTCGTGCACACAACTGTATATTTATACGGTATTATACATACACGCTTGTGTACATACATAAATAAATAACGGACGTGTGTGTGTGTGTGTGTGTGTTGGCGTACGGTTTTATTTTCAATATCGCATTCGTATTGTTGTTATTATTATTATTATTATACTCGGATAAACATAAACGCCGTTATATTTATGCGCGGCGCGTTTGCCCGACGCGGCCGTAGCCGTTATCCGGGGAGATGGCTCGCACGCCCTTGCGGGTGGTTTACGGACAGCAGAAGGGATTTTGTCTCGGTTTCGCGTACACGGTTGTTTTCGAATACGAGCCGCAATGACAAAATCCTGGTTGCACCGTTGGTGCGAAACTTATAAAACAGCCAATAAAAACCACAAAAGTGATATTCATTGTTAAATAAAAGAACACTCGCATGCACCCGATCTTGTTGATCTTGATACCGAATATAAAATTTTAAAATTAAAAATGAAAATAGTTGCTTCTGAAACACGATCCTCCAAACGTAATTTTCAAGTCGTAATAATTATTTTTGAAACTAATGAAGAATTCGAATTAATAACTGGTTTTGGAAGAGCTTTCATTAATAGTATTAATTAAGTTTTTCTGTTTGGAATGCATTCAGCGCATATGTTTTTCATTTTGCGCAAAATGTATATTGATAGGTTCAGAAAGAAGCCTTAATTACAAAATGCTACAATTAATGTTTAATGTTACTACAAAAAAAAAATCTTTTGCTGAATGGTTAAGAACGTACGTTATTTGTTTCATAAACTGTGTTTGAAATTATTGGCTATAATTGTCAGCGACAATTTCTCATTGTTACCTATCCTTATTATGCCACTGATAATTTTTTATTCATTTTATTAATTTCAATTAAATTGATTGATTAAATAAAATAATGTTAGTAAATTTGAAACATACTATTTAAAATAATGAAATATATACCTAGGTTCTTCTTTAATCGATGTTTGATATTTAATAAATAAATCATTATATTGTTATTCAAAGTAGGAAATTAACTATTGAATTTGTTTTAATGAAATTACGTGCAAACAATATAAAATTATGTTCAAATCATATATAATAAGAATATTAAAAATACAATAATAATAATAATACTTTATAATTATAATTAAATTTTAAGATAAAAATTAGACAAGAATTTAGTTTAAATAAATTCTGGGGTTAAATTTGTTAATTTCTGTCAACCTGTTAATGAAAAAAAACATATTGTAATTTTGATTTAAAAAATAATACCTATTTATTAAACAGGTTATTACTTATCACTGTAGTCTATTAATTATATTTATAAACCATCATTAGGTACTTATGAAAAAATAATTAAATAATTTAGCTAAAAAGTAATTATATTCATATAATAATGATGATTATTATAATGCCCAGAGTTGTTACCAAATAAACAATTTAAAATCCAACATTATCTAATGATATTTTTAGTTAAAACTATGATATAATATAGTCTAAGGAATAGGTTACATTTTTATGTTAACCTTACCTTTTTTAAAAGTGTTGTGAGTATAATATGCCAGGTGATCCATTTAAGTTGTATTGTATAAATCAAATATTTTCTTGACTTAAATTCTTTAATTAGATATAAAATGTATACCTAATTAAATAATTTAATATACCAGGTGACCCATTTAAGTGGGTACACTCATTTGTGTCGGAAATTATTAATTTTTTTCGAAATTTGTTTTCTAGAACATATAAGAAACAAACAGTTCTATAATTTCATATTTATGTTATTTTTTGTCACCTTTATTCTAGGGGTAAAACCACACCCGCTTTTGATTTTAAAATGGTAACTCATACTAAAAAGTCCACAAATAGATGGAGTATTAGTTAAAATAAATTCATGTGTTGAACTTTTTGATTTCTGTCAAGCCGTTGACGAGATATTTTACTTTTAAATTTGGGTTGGAGGAGAGTGGTGCAGGTACATTATTAACACGTCACGCGACGCACGTCATACTGCCATACAAATGATACTCCACTACTCTCCTCCAACCCAAAATTTAAAGTGGAATATCTTGTCAATGGGTTGACGAAAATCAAAAATTTCAACATTTAAATTTATTTTATCTAATACACCATTCATTTATAGAATTTTTAATATAGGTTTGCATTTGAAAATCAAAAGTAGATAGTGATTTTACTCCCCCAAAAATAAGGGTGACAAAATTAACATACATATGAAATTGTAGAGCAGCTTGTTTCTTAAATGTTCTAGAAAACAAATTCTGGAATAAGTTAATAATTTCCGAGATAATGAACGTACCTACTTAAATGGATTACCCGGTAGTATAAAATATAAATGTTGGATTGAATAAATAATTATTGCACCTTTCAAATTATGTTATAGAATTTAACATAATATTATAAATTACCTGTAATTATGAAAAGTTGTTATTATTTTTTTTATTGGTGTCAACTGTCAACGTATCAATCATCTTTATATTTCATTACATTAATTTAATGGTTACTATTAATTGGTCAATAGTTTAATGGGCGATTATGAACTCAATAAATAACGTACCTAATACTTATCATCACTTGTCAGACTAATGATAATTAAAATTACTTATTTAGTAAGTAACTATTAGTGTTAATTTATTAATAATAGCAAGTAATTGGATTATAACAAGGAACTTAGTAGCGTATTAATTTATTAATTAATACATACAAATGTATTTTTTTTTTTTGGCGTTTCCTTATTTTTTATTTTTTTTAGAATATAAATAATTATTATAAATATAGATTATATTTTTTATCACATATGGCTTATTAATTCTGGACTGACAGTCGTATCAGGTTGTTGGATAACCAGGCTTTCATCATCTGGATTTGATTTGTGAAGTCTCCGATGATTTTCTTCCTTGTCTGTTGAACCAGAAAATAAAGAACCTACGGAAAATCATAACCGATTACCATACCGTCAATTTAAAGTAACTCTAGTTACATACTTTTTTTAAATATTTTTGCACTAGTCGACCGATTGGGTTTTGACGGTCGACCTGTTGTACTATTACTACTGGCACCCGCTGAATTTGATTTATTTCTAAAAATAGATCGTTTTAGTTTTGCAGTTCCTGGATCATTTTGAATAAATAATTCGGTTGAGGGAATAGCGCTGATTGTTTCAGTTTCGGGCAAACTTTTATCATATTCTCTAGATTTAGCCCTAAAAAGTGGCGATCGCGATGTATTTATTTGTGATTGCATTGGTTCTATCTGCATTTCTGTAGGTATTGTTGGAGCCACTTTGTTTTTAAATATAATTGGCGCAAGTTGTGGTATAGACTCTCGATCGTAGTCCTCGTCAGACTCGCTTCTAAGTGGTATAATATATGATGTACTTCCCATTTCAGTAATCGGATTTGATGTTTTCGATTCGAAACTATCCTGTAGACAAATAAATTTATGATTCTGTATGTTGGCCTCAAATTATACTGGTAAAATGCCTAATTTTAATTTTTATGACGACAGCATGCTCAATATATTAGTTATCATTAAACATTACTGAACTTCACTTATTTCAGTTTTAGTCTTATGTAAAATGTATTTAATTCAATAAATTTTGTTCATGTATGTATGCATGCACATATTATATTAAACAATATTGGACAAATAGTTAAACCCGCCACTGTAGGTAGGTATCAATTTAATTTATTTAATATTTATATTATCAAAATAATTAGTTTAGTATTATTTTTTATGTTAATAGGTAGGTAAACTTACATTCATATTCTTTTTTTATCAAATAATACTTCATTAATTGCAATGCAATTAGTATTAATATATTATGTTATTCATAATTTATTATGGTAAAATATATTTTATAATTTTATATAAATAATAATCATAACCTTATGATAATTATACATTTAATATTCGCCAGTATAGGTAATTGAAATGTCATGAAGATAATTAATTACTACACACAAATCACAACTTCAAGATATAATATTTTTTCTGTCAGAAACATTTACTGGGTACTCATTTACTTATACACATTTTATGTTTATGACATTATAGCCTACAATACAGGAAATTTATGTAACATACAAAGGCATAAAGGTTACATTAGACACAATAAATTATATTTTTACAAGACTCTTATGAAACTATACAAAGTCAAATGTATAATGTATTTTTTCAAATAGATTTAAAACATTTTAAACATATCTAAAAAAAGATGCATTGCATAGATATGTAAATATACATTAGGGGGGGGGGGTTCTTGTACTACAGTATACTAGTATATATATATTTATAAAAAAAAAAAATCAAATTAGATACCTAACTGTTCTCGAGCCGTAAATACAGAATTTTGTGCCATAGTCATAAATAATATATAGAGGATAGGACATTCCACACAAAACCACAAGTTTAAAGAGCAACAAGGTAAAGCAACAATATAGAAACATTATGAATCTATTTGGTCATTTTCGTTATCTTTCATTTTTAATGATAATATTATAGTAGTATGATAAGTAACAATAATGGAAGTAAGAGAAGCTTATGACATTGTTAAAATTAAAAAAAAAAAAAAATTGGAAAAAATACAACATTTTAGAAATGAATAAAACTTATATTATTAAAAACAAAAAAAAAATAAATTTTTATTTTGATAAAAAATCGATAACACTGAAATGGTTGTAATCAGAAATACTGTAATTTTGAGGTTTTTCTGACAGGAGACCCCATGAGTTATTGTTATAGGCATGACTTATTCGATTCCGGCATAGATACGGTCGGCGCATTTGCAGTCATGACCTTTTTGGTGGCACTTGCAGTGACTCAATTTTTTTTTTAGCTCTTATCTTTTTTACGATACATTACACGGACATCTGTGTTTGCATATATTTTCATATTTTAGACTCGGAGTGGAGCGAGAAATGTATTGGTTTTACTATGTGTGCTTATATATATATATAACTATGTATGTTTTGCCTTTAAGAGCATATTTTAGGATCACTTTTACAGGAAATCATACATGGTTAGAATATATTAAAACATTCCATATTTTATTTAGGTACACAATACGATACGACAAAATTATCGATTCGATAGTAATTATTGTATTGTTATTGTACATTGCAATTGCACGCAAGTTGTATTTTTCAATATAGGTATGTGTCTTAGTAAGATCGTACGAAATCCGAAAGTTTAGATATAGTTAATTTTTCTGAACATTCATGTAAGCCTGATCAGTGACAACTAAAATTAAAAAACAATAACGCCAGTAAAAATTCAATAAATATTTATTGTCAGCCTCAAGCCTGTAAAAGTGTAAAGGAAGGTTTTATTTTAAAAACACGCGAACACAGATGTCCGTGTAATGTATCGTAAAAAAAGATAACAAGATAAAAAAAAAAGAACCGAATGACTGCAAGTGCCACCAAAAAAGCCGTGACTGCAAATGTACCGACCGCATCTTTGCCGACACCGTCTATTCTTCATTTTCTTCATTCTTTATATCTACAGCTATAGCTAACTATAAATATTAAGTATGATAAAGGCTAGGTACCTTTATAATAAAGCCTTATCGCATGGAAAAACTGATTATTGATGGATTATAACAACAAATATAATTAAGTGATTATTGAAATATTAAATTTATATACATATTTCATATTGAATATCCTCCAATATATTCCAATGTATGTAACCGTTATAAACTATGGACCCTCTTCCTCAAGAAAATAAACTATTTAAGAAGCCTCTACTAGGAAAATACGCCACTTATGGCACTGCAAGTGATGGAAATAATAATAAAAAAAACTCACTATAACTTTGTTAATACGTCTGAACGGATTGCGTCTGTCAGACCTCCGGTGTGGCGCATTAAAAGAAAGTAAATATGAATCGTTCGAAGTTTGTTTTTTTTTCTTCCACTCTTCCATTCTTTTGTCCACATCGGCTTTATATTGAGCCATATCTTCTATGACACGGCGATTGAGTGTGTCGTATAACTTTACAATTTGTGACACCAACCAACTACGTTAATATAAATTATTTGGTATTCAGTATACATAAATATATAATGCATACATATTAGAAATATAAATATAATGTAAGTAATTCTATTTTACTGAAATTAATTTCATAGTTGACATTTTTTCTCTTAAAATAAAAAAAAATATACTTTCATAATGCAATGAAGGAATATTACAGTTGTTATTAATCATTATTCTCGTATAGTTCCATCAGGTCATTACAATACTTACCCCTGCAAAATTATATTTGCTATAACTTTGGAACTTAACAGTTCCGCCAAACTTTGATTATGCTGCTGTTTCTCAGTATTGAAATGTATACATTTCGAAAAAAAAATCCTAAGGGTTCACTCAACTAGAATTGGTAGAATTAAATAATTAGTGTTACCAGATGAATGAGTTTTATTTTTTTAGGATTTGAAAGTTATTTACTTATTTTCAAATATCCTTTTTCTTCTATGCATTATTATTCAATATTTTTATTTTTTAAGCCTATATGTCTTTTTAACTTTACTCGATATCTCCGTGTAACTTATTAGATTAGCAAGTACAAATTCAAAGACGTGCGCACGGGTAGGGCTGATTGGATTCCCTTTTAGTTTTTAAACGTTAGTATTTACTGAAAGACTATATAGAAATTAGAAAATAATACGGCATTATAGTCGTAGAAAATTGATAATAAAATAAATCAAAGTCATAGATTTTTACACGATTAAAGATATACTGGTTGGCAGTTGCCCTTGTGATAAGTATTCGTGGATATTAAACATGTTTAATATTCATGATAAAAATAATATTATGTTTTATCTTTATGTGTATTTATACCAGTTACCATTTAAAGTAGTTGCGTTAGGCATGATATACTTGAAAAAATGTCTAATCAAATAAATGTAAAACTTGTAACGCTAAAATTAATATCTCACACAAGATAGGCTTGTCCAAAGACTTGCATCAAAGTTTATATCCGCTATTAAATCTAATTATTCATCTTTAGTTATGACGCTTCAAGAAATTTGTGATTCAACCAGACCCTCTGATTTAAGCGCTAAATCTCATCGATTAATTTTTAAAATGCAATTTTTTAGTTTTATATTCGCCCTAAATATGCTGATACCTATTTTCCAGTTATATTGAAAGTCAATACAAATTTACAAAGTGGACAATTATTTTAAAAATTAGTCAATATCGGTCTGGTTAAGAATATGAAAAAAAAAAAAAAAAAATGCTATAAAAATGTGTGTTGAAAATAATATTGATATTCCTGATGTAACAAACGAAAAATATCAAAAAAGGTTAACGACAACCACAATCATCAATATTTTGAGAAAACTAAAAAAGATGAAATGAAATATTCTTGCTTTTATTTTGCACTTGATCAAATTATATCAGGATTAATTGTTCGATTTAGGCCCGGTTTTACAATTATATGTTTTCTTCGAAGAATAAATATCCCGAGTATAAGGTTATACTACAAGTTACCTAAAGTATAGAATATTTTGGTTTTACAATGTAATAAATTCTCTGGATAGCTCTATGATATGAATTGTATGCGTGAAATAATGAAAAATTATTGTTTACATTTTTCAGTCACCAACAAAAGGTCACTTCGAAGTTTGTAGTGAAAATGTCTATATTTTTTTTCTTGTGACCGTGAGGGGGGGGGGGGTGTTTGGTCAGATTGACCATATAGCCATACTTGACTCAGAAGTCTGCGCACGCCTATACACAAATTATTGCCATCAGCTCAATGGTTAAATAATATTTATATCTTTGTAATGTACAAATATAAAATATTTATTATGAAACAACTACCTATTTACTATTTGATGTTAAAATATATTATTTTATTTTTAGTGTTATTTTAGTTTCTGAGGGAAGCGAAGAATGTATTGGTTTTACATTGATGTAAATTTTTTTTTAATACTATGTACAAAATTTCCACCAGAAATCTCGGTCTGATTTTCAAGTGTAACACTTGAACGGAAAAACGGAAAAATTTACAAAATTTATTATTTTCAATTTTTTTTGTTGTAATTCAGTTAAAAATATTTGTAGACTCTTTTGTAGACAGAAAACTTTTATTTGCCTTTCTAGACGTGGTAAAATGTTGAAAATATTTTAGCCATTTTTGAGCTGTTTATAAACATTTTAATTTTGCCAATTTTTTACAAAATTTTTATTCGGTAGATACTTTGTGGGTAAAACTTTCAGACCAAACAGAAAGGTATGCGAATTCAACAGAAAGTTCATTAAAAGATGTACTTAGTGGTCAATAAGAAAAAACGAGTTTAATCAAGTATTATTTTTTTATTAGAATTTCAATATCAAATTTTGACGAATCGTAAATATTACGGTCTCAGAATCGTTTTTCACTATCAATGATTAATGATTATTAATGATTATTCTTTACATACAGATATACATTAAATTCCTCGCTAAATCTTTCCTTACCAATTTCTCACCTATAACAGTGGCAAGTAGGGAATCTTGCGAATCATGTCCGTATTTTATCCACAATTAAGAAAAGAAAAAAAAATGCTAATTGTACTTTTAATTTTGAATTTACCGAAAACAAAAAATATACCTAAACGTTATCACATTTGTGTATAATACATCATCAGCAAGTTTTGTGATTAGGATATATTTTCAAAAATATCAAGAGGTCATAGTAGAATTTTCATATGAAACAAAATAATCACAATTACATCAATACAGTGACTATCTTTTATATTATTATTATATTATATTATAGTACTAGTGATTTTTAAGTGATATTATAAAGTATCTAGAACTTTACTTAAGTATAGAGTATAGGTATAGCAGGTTGTTTTAATGTTATTTTAATATAAATAGCGATTATTTTATTTTACTCTTAAAGATAATAGTATTATAAATGAATATCTAACATTATTTCATCGAAATATTTTAACTTAAATATGAATTAACATTATTAGGATTTTTGTATTTTCCAGTATCTATAATAGGTAATTATTTAAACGGCAGTTACCTATATATGTATTAATTTCAATAATAACATCTTACTTAAATCCACTATCAATGCTTGGATCAATAAAAGCAGAACTACAATAGTTAATAGGTGCCATATGGAGAGCCGTACATGTTTCAACAAGCGTTGGACACTTATTTGTATTTACAACAGCTTCCACGTTTAGTCGATCAACAATGTCCAACTCATCTAGTGCCCCTTGTTTGTCTTGTTTATTAGCAAATCTAAGAAAATAAAATTATCGATTAAACAAAAACAAAACAAATTGAACTACTTAGTCTTACAAAAGTACTGGTTTTCCGGCAATATTTTCATTTCCTAATAAATTTTCGAAAACCTCTTTACATTCATCTAATCGACGATGATCTGTTGAATCCACCACAAATATTACACCATGTACCTAAAGTAATATTCATATTATCACATTTTTTTGGTTAACTAGTATAGTATATGTTATATTACGTCAGCAAAATATTGTTTCCATATATCTCGGATTTGTTTGTGGCCACCTAAATCATAAATGGTTATAGCATTTTCGCGGTAATTAAATTTGGAAGACGAAAATCCAACAGTCGGAAGAATATTTTTTTGTTTTTCTAAAATAATATAATTTCAATGTATACAAAATAATTATTGTATATCTATCATATAAATACTAGTGCCATTTTACCTTTCATAATACTTTTAACGGTACAAGTCTTTCCAGCGTTGTCCAAACCAACCAAAAGCAGAGTAATTTTTCTATAGTGTATCATGACAGAAAATGTTATAATTAAAAATATAATTTTATTAAATATCAACATAATAAAACCTTTTGTGTATTTTTTTTATACATACACATATACGTATATACCTGACTAACCGTCTTCAGGTAATTCCACGGGAAGAGGAAAAAAGGGTATATATGGAGGTTTCATCCACACAATTTTTACTGTAGAATATTTGGTCCTCTGTATAATTTTAAACTACTCGTCAAATATAAATAATAATATAAAATTAATACTTCTATTCAATGTAAGTTCATTATTAGTTAAGCTTATGTAAGGTCATTCAAGTACTTTAAGATTTAGTTAGGTATTATAATATATAGTTCTGTATATCTTGAACGTTTTTATTTACAAGTTCCTAAATCTAGTGCCTAAATCTATTGTAACATAGGTATTTATATTTATTAGCTAGTTGATAATCTGTAAAGGGTGCAGTAATTTTAGATTTTGAGTGGCACGAGGAATATATTGGTTTTACAATGATGTTTAATGTTCATTTTTTTTTCTGTGATGGACAACTTTTCAGGTCCGTGAAGTTAGGCTACACAATATCAATATTATCAAACCAAGTTTTCCCAAAAATGTGTAAGTCATTTATAAGCAAAAATTTGAAATTTGTTAGTCCAGTTGTTTTTAATTATCCACTAATATTTATTTTGTGGCTAACTTCCGTGAAACTTGGCCGTTTTGCCATTTCCAAATTTTTGACTCAGCCAAAATATTTTGCACAATTTGTAAGTCATCCCTTGTTGAGTTATCATTGAAAAGTAGTAGTGGTCAATAATGTTTGTTGTTCCACAATAATAGTCCAGTTAAATTGGACAAAAAACGATAAAGTTTGGAACTAATTCCCCGATAGCTGAATTTTGGTGCAGAAGTAGTTTATACTTCACTTATAATCATACTAAAAGTATGGCATCTAGCTCTTTTAAAATTGACATGTGCTCATTTCACTGGTTTTGATTATAACTCGTCAATTGTTAAAGTAACAATAAAAATACCTATGACCAAAATTAAAAATCATACAATTTATACCATAGAATAAACTTATTTGTAATATTTGTATAGTGCAATTAGTTTAGGTTCAATATCAATACAAGGCTAAAATTTTAAAAAGTGAAAATAAAAGAAGTTAGAGACAAATTTTATTTTCATTTTCATTTGTCTACCATTAATATAATTATAATATTTAAAACAATGATATATTATTGAATTTAAATTAATTTCATTTAATTATCCCATTACAGTAACCTCCAATTCTACACTATACACAGCCTAGCGGTACCCACTTGCAAACTTTTTATTCGTTGATAATTTTAACATTTAACATATTGTATACATACAAGACTATGCCTATTTTGAAAGTTGAAAACCATGAAAATTTTAATTTATTGTGTAAAACTAAAACACTGAAGTAGGTGAGAATGAAATTATACTATTATTAATGTTATTATTTAATAATAATATGATTAAAGGATTATAACTAGTTAAATTAACAGAATAATAATACAATTAATACAAATGATACAAATTATAAAAATGCAGAATATTAGAGAAAGGCGATTTTTCATCGTATTTCTGAAAAAAAAATATAGTAACTATGCGTATACATGATAATAAAATATGAAACACAAACTTTTATATTTAACTTAAACACTTCCGTTGTTCTGGTGTCAATGTCAGAAGAAAACTCTCGTAAAACTTGTTAGTATCTATATAAAATTAACTATCAATAATTAATTTATAATCAACTCACCGGAGTGTAAAATTTTAAATTCATACTTACAAATAATTACAAATTGCGAAGGAAAATTTGCCACGGGTCAAAGTTTAAGAAGCCCGACAAAGCACAGCCAACTTATTTGTAGGGATAAATAAGTACTTTAGGATGACTTAAAAATTTTAAATTCATGCTTACAAATACTTAAATAATCTAAAACATTTTTGTCTGGTCAAAATGGTACAAATGGTAGGTATCAGGACTTTTAGTATATGTTCATTTGTAAAGCATGAAATACTTTTGTACCAAAATTCAGCTATAGGGATTCAGTTCCGAACTTTGTCGTTTTTTTGTCCAATTTGTCTGGACTATTATAGTGGAACACCAAAAACTATTGACTACTGCTACTTTTCAGGGATGACTTACAAATTGTAGATTTGCGCTTACAAATACTTACAAATATTGTAAAACATTTTGGTCGAATCAAAAATTTGGAAATGGCAAATCAGCCAAATTTCGCAGAAGTTAGCCGCGAAAAAAATATTAGTGGATAAATAAAAGACGGACCTCTATTTTTCTACCAGCAATTTTGCTCCGATCTCCAATAATACCACGTTTTCTGAAAGGAAATTTGATTAGGGTGGTACTTTAAGGAAGTCATTTTTTGATTTTATCATGCATTTTTCTAATAAATGGGGAAAAAAACATGATAAAACCAGGAAAAACTTATGAAAAACGGAAAAATAAATATAATATTAAACTAATATTTTTAAAGAAAATATTTATAGGTAATGCATATGTAATTACTTTACCATAATATGACGCATATATTATACTGTTGAAAAAGTAACTCTATCAACCAAACTCTGCTCAGAATCGTTTTTTTGTTAGCAATGGTTAATCTTTGCATACAGATATATACATATTAAATTTCCCCTCTACCTTCCCAACTTCTCACCCACAAGAGTGGTCCACCCACGTCCGTCTTTTTAAATGTATAAATGTTGTTTATTTATAATTATAACTGAGATAATAAAGAGGCATGTATAAACAGGATTTTCCTAGTCGGTATTAGGTTATGTTAATTTATAATATAATTTTTAAAACTTTATGATAAAAAAGAATGTGGACTACTGGGTAGTTTAGAGGTAAACCAGTATTTTATAATTTAGGTTTACCTAGCTATTAAATTAGAATTTGAATGTTTGCATAATTTTTCATTTTAAAATAAACAATTTTATCAAACAAAAATATATTAAATATAATATTTTTTAGATCTTAAGTACAGCGTAGATTAATTTTTCTATAGAATTATAAGTAAGTTCAAAAAGGTTTGAGCATTTCTGTTCAAAAAAAGTGCAGATTTAAAAATTAAAAAATATATAAAATAATATAGTTTCTTTGTTCCGTTCTTAATCTAAACAATCTTTTTGGAAGTCATTGTATTATACGAATAAAATTTTCATCAGCATTTAAAAATAATTGAATTAAAAAGCATTATTTGCATTTATTTCATTACCAGGAAACCTTATCAAAACTCCCCCAAATTTATATTCGTTTCATTTAACATTATAGAAAATAAATAAATTACTAATAAAACACTGTGAAATACGAAATTAAGTTAGTGGATAACTTAAAGTTAAATAAATGACAATGTGATTATGGTAATTTTTTTCTTCGCTGATGCATACAATGATGATATTATAGTATTGACTATGGTGATGACTCGTAGTATTTTGTTAATTATGCAGAATACATATAACTTACACAAAAGACTCAGGAAGTATAAGTATACAATTTTAAGTTCATATATGTATTATAAATATATAATAATTTTACATTTTTTTTAAAAGTTAAGCATTTAGAATATATAATTGTTATACTATCAGTGTGAGTGATCGTCCCATATCCTCATATTAGAGGTCGTTCGTATCATTTTTTAAAACTGTGTCTTAAGTATTATGTATGATTCCGATTTGTCCTAATTTCAAGAAAATTTGTATTAAATATTACCCGTATAGTTTGTTTTTGACATACAAAATGATATACTTTATAATTATGTGGTTGATTACAATGTCAATAATCATAATTCATGTATGTAGTATTTATATGACAAATAGGTCGGGTATTTTATTCCCATTATGATAAATAAAAGTTCAGATGGTTTTTTGATAGGTATTATAATTAATTTAACATAATTTTATAACCTAAAATTATTTCGAGAGTTTGAACATTTTATCTTATATATATTGATAATATTTTTCAACACGTTTTAGGAATTGTCCCTTTTTTAGTCAAGAAAATATTTATTACGGTCACACTATATTTATAATATTCAAAGTCGCGTTTTCCACCAAAACGTGTTAATTACGTAATTATCAGATAAATAAACAAAATAGAGGAACTAATGTGTCGTATTCTTACATTTGAATGTTCGGAGAGCTACTTGTATTTTATCGAATTGATCTCTAAATGTAATTAATTTATTTATAAACTCTTTAGCATTTAGCTGTACAATCTACATTCAAAATCGAATGTCAGTATATCGTAGAAGTGACATTCAAAGTTAAATTTGGGTAATGAAAAAAAAAAAAATAAGCTTTAATTTGTCACACGTTTGGCTTCAACACGTCATTGAACCGCGCACAAAACCCGATTACTAATCAATTTTTGTATTGCGTTATCATTATGTATTATTATTTATTACGTTACCTGCGTTGTCGTTGGTCTGCGTTTGCACAGTCAAGGCATTTAAACCGCAATACGTTGTTGCCCATAACCACGAACCGTCAAAACATTTTTATTTTTTATCCGACTTGCAGATAATGGTCAGTCTATTATTTTTATCGTCACTGGGAAAACTAAAAACAACTTTTCGCACATGATAATATTATTTTAATAAAATAATATTATTATTCAACGTTAACGCGTCTCACGGACTCTTGTGGCGGCGCGGCGGCGGCCGCGACAACAAACCGTAACCGCGGTAACGGGCGGCGGCAAGTGGTAAAAAACGCGACCACGCGCTGCAGTAGTACGCGAGGGCCGTACTATATACTATTATACTACGTTGTCGGTCGGAAATAAACATAATATTAATATTACGTAATATTAGTATTGTGCATAATAATGATATAGCGTAGGTACACAATATCACACTCTTTCAATAATAATAATAAATAGTTATAAAAAAGTATGTTTACCGACAAGTATCAGTTGTAGATAGGTAGGTATAAATTGTATCTTGTTTTGGAAAGTATCGAGTACCTATCCGTAGTATTTATCCATAGTGACTATTTATAGCATCGGTATACAGATACTTGCCTTTAGAGGCCGAAGGGGTAGAGCAAACTGAGTCGTTTCCCTTCTAACTTTTCAATAAATGCATTAAAAATTGAAAGTGATTGTTAGGAACTTCTAAAAATGTTTCAAATGAATTACCACCGCATCTTTTAAGGTACCTAATTAATATTTTAATTTTAATGCATCGATTATTATCGAGTGTTCAAATACATAAACTTAAGTATCGACTATGGATTTTCTTGTATCTAGATACTGAAAATCAATGTAACTAGTATCGGGTATCTAGATACTTATTAGTTATATTTGAGAAAATCAAAGTATATTTAAGTCGATTTTAAAGTAATTGCTCATCCGTAAATATCGATTAAACACGGGACTGTCAATTTAAAACATTTACTGTGCAGCTATAATAATAAAGTAAAAAACTAAAACCATACACTGACAATAATAATAATATGATAATATTCTATTCTTATCATAAGTCGTCAGCGGATTTTACAAACAATCCACGTAAAGGCAACCGCTACAATTCCTTGTGACTAGGTTGCTAGGTATCGTGTTTGTAAGATCAAGTGTCCATAGATAATAATGATATTATTTATTTATTATCTTTGCAAGTGTTTCGTATTATCAGTGGCGTAGCCAGGATTTTAGGGTTAGGGGTACAGACACAACTAGACCACCTGCAACCTTGGAGTTGCTAAAATTTTAATCACAGACCCATAGAGGCAATGCCGACACAATCGCCTTTACACGATACTCATAATAAACAACTAAACGTTTTATTTACAATTTTTTGTATAAAAAATGTATCATAACTTTTTTAACTTTATATTTTATACACACATGCATTATCTGTAGGTAATTTGTATTTTGTTTTGCTTATTAATTATGAAATACATGGATAAAATATTTAGTCTATACCTACTTATTAAACAACTTATTGGGTATTTTTGCGGGTGCTTATTTTTAACTTGCTAAAGACCCTCTAGAACCTTTCTAGTTTCGCCTATGGTTAGAGGATAGCTTTCAATAAAATTATATTGAAAGCGTTTTCTATAGCAACATTTCAATGGTTTTCGAGATACGAGAATTCGATTCAGATTCGATTGTAGCTCAGTTATCAATTTGTTTGTGTCATTGATAAGAAAATAAAAATCTATGATTTACGGTTTAATGTCGAGTAAACACAATACAATAATTCGTAAATTTACGCGTAGTGCGTAAGTAGCAAAAAGAAAAAAACATTTTGAAAATGAGGTTAGAATGGGGGGGGGGGGCAACCGTAAATACGCCGCTGCGCGTATTATCTATATCAGAGGGCCATAAAAAATAATAATAATTCTTGGCGGACTAAAGAAATGAAACTTTTACTTTTAAGTTTAAATTCTATTCTATTGTACTGAACATCTTAATATAACGGGTACAGTGATATAATATTTAATTGTTTATTACAGTGTAAATTAGTAAATAAACATTTTTGTACCCTCCGCCACAAGCGAAGCTTAAAAGGAGGCTCATAATTTCGATCGCATACTTTATTGTAAACATTTGTATAATACCTATGTATATTGGAATAAATAAATGAATAGAAAAAAAAAATTACGTATTGATTGTTATAAAACGAGAAAAAAAAAATGTCAAACGCGAACATAATAAGTATCTTTTTCCGACGTGAGAGTTAATTTTTGTGTCAATTTCGATTTGATACTTTGGCCGATTAATAATAATAATAATAATAATAATAATAATAATACAGGTAAATTAAACGAGTCCGGCGACCCTCGAATTTTTATCGCGGTCGCCGCCGAACAAGTACAATTGGGAATACGCGGGTTATCCGCAGCGCAGTAATAGTAACGATTGCTATTGTTACGGACGCGGAGTGCGGACGTGTGTCGTTGCTGCGGCGAGGAGAGACGCGGTCGGTCGGCGCGTGGTCGTCTGCCCTTTATCGCGGCCGTATTCACCTCCAACGAGATCACCGTGTACCAGGGGCTCAGGCGACCGCGGCGACCGTTCGGCGCTAGTAGTAGCGGCGGCGTTGCAGCCGAAGCTACCGGCGAACGGCAACCCCGTAAACGGGACGCGCCGCTCTACCGCACGACACGTGACGTCGTGACGCGGGATAATAATAATAATATTTTTTTTTTTTTTAGATATTTTTTTTTTTCAACGCTCGGTCGCTCATATTTTAATATAATATATATATATATATATATATACATGTACATGTACACTGTGTCGTGTACACACACTCGTGTTATGCATATTATTTTAATAAAAACGTCTTCGCCGTCGAAATTCGAAGAAATAGAACACGTTTTCCGAACGTGTGCACGGAAAGTAGTAAAAAAAAAAAAAAAAATAATAAATAAAAATAAAAAGTGTATACCTACATTATATTACATTATTACCATAACGTTTTTCGTTTCTTTTATTGTGTACTGCAAGTGTAATATCGATCAACGTTTTTTTCTTTTTTTTTCCTTTCGTTACGAGGTTTTTTAATATAAAATATGACGGCCCTTCGGCGTGTATATAACACGTATACCGTTATTATATAGTGACCCGACTATATAACAGTATACCTATATATATTACAATATACATACATACACATATAAATATATATACCGCGGTGGCGTATTTACAGACCCTGGCTCGGGTTCGGCCGACTTATAACGTCGGTGCGAATTGGACACTGCTCCGGTGTAGGAAATCAGTGTCTCGAGTGTAGACCTAACCCAGATCATAGTCGACGAAAACCCACGGCGGGTAGTGCATTTACATACCGCGAGCGGCGCGTAACTCGGACAGGATTTGTAAATACGCGTCGCGGTGCGGAGCGGCTGCCGGGTCCCGAGCTTGGGACGTCCAGTTTTTTTTTCCGCCTCGCTTTTCGTTCATTGCGATAAATTATTACGCGCTTCACTTTTTTAAAAATATTTTATTTAATCAATACGCGGACACGTTTTTATTCCGAAAATAATACTTCAATATAAACGATAATAATTTGTATGCACATACTCATATAATACCGCCTTATGAATACAATAATATTATTTATTCGTATTGTTCCATTTTTCCATTGACGGAGTTTCAACACGAAGTTAATAACGGTCGACTCGATAAAATATTCAATTGTATTATTATTAGAAAACCGCACTAATATATTTATAACGTTATTATTAATGTTGGTAAATTAATATCTAATATTAGTATCGACAACCTATATCTCTTTAATAATAAAAAATAAAAAATCTAAATGAATAAAAACTAAAAAATTATGCCCCACCGCATGGTCTTTGAAATGGTGTTCAGATAAAACCCGAGTTTTTTAACGTAGTTACCATAACCATTCTAATGTTCTGTTGTCTGATAAATCCATAGTAACCCGAATTTTTTTTACCTTTTTGTTCGCTATTGATCAATGTACAGTGGTAGTTCTATCCTAGATTTGAGGAGGGAGGGTCGAATTTCAAATCTAACGGGGGTCATGGACTTCAAACCCGTTCCATTATCTTTTTTGGACATTTTTTACTCCAATCAATACGGAAAATACGCAAATGTCGGTGGTTTTAATTGAAAACATTTTTCCCACTGAAAATTTCTGAGCAAGCTCCTGTTCAAATTCTCTCCTATTTCTACAGGTTATGCCCTGTAGGTATTTCATACTTCAATACTAAAATATACTAATATAACTATAATATTTAACAAATTTTGGTCTTAATTTCCGACTACAGACTGGAGTTGAAATAGAAATAAAATATAAGCCAGCGTGTTATTTAACTTTTATCTTATTTTGTTAATAATCTGTCGAAATTGTAAAGTAGGAAAATAAAATATAGAGTTTATTGGGTTATCGTGGTTATGGATACAACAAATGTACCTCGGAGCTATAAAAACTTTAGAGCTTTGTGTATGTACTCTATAATATTTAGAGTCAATAACTGTTAGTATAACAGTAAATACAGAAACCAAGCAAATATGCCGAAAGGTTTCAAGATTTTATCATGGAACCATAATTTGACGCACGTCTGCGATTTATTTTTCCGAATAGTATTACATGTAAAGTATTTTGAAACTAATATTGTTTTCTTCGTAATGAATTTGTGTATGTAGTATCTTATGTACTCATACTTAATGCACGCATTTGGTAGCATTTGGGCCTAACACAATAGGTGTGTTATTCCCGAAGTAAAATCTAAATAGTACGACGGCGTTGTCGTTATTAGTTGTAGTTTATATCGTTCGATAATATTCATCATTATTTCATTGTCATGTCGTAAAAGCGAAGCGAAGCGATTTGTCGTGTGGGGGCCGGTGGTTAACAAAAACGTTTCGCCTCGGTAATAATAATGATTATAAAAATATTATTAAGGATACTGTATATTATAAATTATAATATTTCTTGTTTCCGTGTTTCGCGTTGGCACACGCGAACGAGAGCCTTTTCCGGGGGCGTCGCGGTGTGTCGCACGCCACGTGTACGTTCTGCGCGAGCGTGCGGAGAGTAAATCGCGCGTCTGCCGCCGGCTCCGGTCGGTCGGGCGGGCGGATGGGCGGGCGGGCTGGCGGGCGGGCGTGCTTGGGTCGCTGCCGCCGCGCCAATTCGCGTTGCGCCCGTTGTCCGCGCGCGGCGTTCCCGGCGGGTCACACTTGGCTGAAGAAATGCGAGCGATTGTACCAGGGTACTAGCCGGCGGCGGCTAGGCGTGGCGC